CTTTCTCCCTGGTGACCTCTACAGACAAAGCCTCTTTGCTCCCCCCACATCCTGGCTCAACACTTGCTCTCAGTATTGCATTTTTCACTGTTCCTGTCTCCAGACGCCCTCAATCTTCCCTCCTCAGGTCCCCTTTGGAAAAGCACTTCTTCATGGGTTTACTTGCACTGATTTTCTTTCACACCACTGTTTTTTGATACTCTCCTACAGCTGACCTGTTATCTTCTGTTATGTCTTGGAACACATAAGGTTCATTACACCTGAGGCTGCGTAAGCGCAACAACTGTTTAAATCAACTTATTTATGGTGAAGGTTCTTCACACCAAATTCATTTTGTAATGTGTGCCTTCTAAGATATTCTGGAAGTTTCAGAGCTCTAGGAGGAACAAGACAAACAAGCAAGGCTGTATTCTGCTGTCACACTGACTACATTCCCGGTGTCCACATCCTAGAAAATAAATAACTTTGTGAAATAAATACCACACTAAGTAGCATTCCATTCAAATTTTAAATGCTACTTTATTTCTCTTGGGTTTTTTTGGTTTAAGTATGATGATATATTGCTACAAAGTGTCCTTCTCATCCAACATACTTCTTCAGATACAACACCAGTTTCTTAAGGTATGGCACAATTTCCAGTGCTACAACCGTAAGGGATTCTGTTGTTTAAGTGTTTTATTACTGTCTTGTGAAACTTACTCAGATTCAAAGCGCTGTAGTATTTCATAAACAGTAAAAAAAGTGAAGGGATTTTTCCCCCCCCTTTTAAAATCTTGAAAGATGCAAAAGTAGGGGATAAAATTAAGCTGTCTTGTGCCCCTAGTCCAGCAACTGCTTTGATTTAATCTTACACAAACACTGGTTTGCACAGCACTCTACGGATTGTCGTGTAAGACACTGTGTAAAACCAGCCATCCAACTGCTGCCAAAACTGGAGTTGAGGCACATGCTTTTCCATCTCTCAGATCATGCTGTCTTTCAGGCAACAATGTCTCCTAACATCTCAGAAACTTAGTTGCATTCAGTGATTTAAAGCATTTCATGAGACAAGTGGAAAAAAGTTTCCCACAGGATGAACATCATTAATTTGTCTCTTACCTGCTGCTGCTTCCGCAAAAAGTTTACAGCTTCCTCAAAATAGTCCAGTTCAAGAACCTGTGGCATAGCAGGGAGATCTTCAAAGGCCATGTAAGCAAGAGCCAGAGTCACAAAGCCTCTGCTGGCCAGAAGACTGGCTCTGTATTCAACAAGACCTCCTCCAGATCCATACAAATCGATTAGTCCAGGGAACGGACCAGGTCCTGCAATGAAAGGTGGGGAGGGGTGTGTGGTGTATGAATATATATATATATATACACACATATATATACACACTCAAAGAGAGAAGTGCTACAGTTGTCCTCTCAGTAGTGCCCCCCCAGCATACATCAGGACAGCAGGTATCAAAAGAAAATCATCTGAAGCTTTCCATGGAGGTTCTCACGCTCGGGCACACATACAGTCACTGCAAGGACACTAATTTTGGTATTTCTCTGTCTGTAGGAAGTTCACATGCTGGGCATCCTTCTCCCACTATGAATTGCAGCTGAAATTGGCTACTGGGGATTGATGAACAAACAGCAGCGCTGCACGAGTTGTCTTTCCTGAGGAACTGTGCTAGCAGGTTTTCCAGGGAGGGAATACTTGAGTTATGAAATGCACCCACAAATGCCAGCACTGATCTACACCAACTGAGGCTTCAGTCTGATCTGGGTAATTACTCCTGGGCTTCCCAGTTCTTCCCCTGCAGCCACAGGACCTTCCTTTCCTGCTGCTGCTCTACCCATTCCTATAGCCAGACTTCCCTCCCAAGATTTGGTGTCACAGCAGCTGTGAGGGACTTTTTATCCAATACAGAGCAAGATATTCACATTTAAGCATTGCTGAAGGAACATAAACACTTCAGGGCTCAGAGCAGCTTTACACATGATCCAGTCTTGGCACTGTCTCCATATGAAGCTGTGGAATGTGACAACTGTTTAATTAAAGACATTGCTTTTCTCATTTGTCTCCCATCTTCCTAAGTATCTCATCAGTCACGCTGCTCCACCATGTAGAGACTTCTTTCTTTGGCTTTTCCTTAGCCAAAGAGAGAGACTGAGAGACAAGTCCAGAGCCTGCAGGAAGATCTGTGGCAGCTGCTGGAGTTGCTGGAGTCCAGTGCTCCCACCATACCTCATCATTCCTTGCTCCACAGCCAGTGCTGTCACGCCTCACAGCTCTGCAGAAGACCAGGGGCCTCTTTGTCCTGTCAGCTAAACAGAAGAGCTAAGAGATAAACACCCTTTTCCCCAGAGCTCTCATGGCAGGAGAGGTCCTGAAGCCCTCCTGCTAGAACAAACAGGACACACCTCGTGTTATCACTACTGCACCTCCTGCCTCCACACTTGAGCCGCCTGGGCAACGCCTGCTCCTCCCTGCTCTGCTGAGGATCCAAGTACCTGGACCAGCCACAGGCTGAGGGAACCACTAGCTGAGGCTTTGCTCTAGGTTCCCAAGTGCATCCAGGGGCCATGGGGTACAATCTGTGGTGTAAATCACACCTGGAAAACCAGAACAGAATTAAAACTCACCAGGAGGGAGGAAGAGGGTTGCTTTCAGACGACCTTCTCTGACTGAAATCCTCTTCACCCCCTCTCCTAAAAACCATCGCTCATTGGTGCATTTTCCCAGCAACCGGTTCATGTCCCCGTGGCCCTCATACACTTCCAAGTCCACACAGAAAGGGGTCAGGACGTTCCTCTTTGCCAGCCTCTTATAGGGCGCTTCAGACTTCAGAGACCAGAGCAGCCCCATGGGCTCCACTCCCGAATAGCTGCCGCCCAGGGCAGGGGAGCAGCTGAGGTCGAGCTCTCCGCTGCTCCCAGCTCTGTAGTGAGCGTGGGCTTGGAAAAGCTCCCCACTCTCATCCACCAGACTGGCTCGGAGGGTGACAGCCTGCTGCGGCAGGAGCGGCGTGGGGCGGGACCCCCGCCACACGGATCTGCACAGGGTCATCGAACAGACACCTGGGGGAAGGCAGAACCGCCACCTGCACCGCCATCCCAGCTCCGCTGCCCTTGGCTGTGGTGAGATACGGGCTGTTGTGAAACAGGATCGTCAGGAGCCTTAAAACCTCTGCCCAAAGTCCAGGAGGAACCACGGTGACTGCTTCCTTCAGCCCGCAAGCACGGGCTGCTGGGAGACGTAGTTCAGAGCACGGCTCCCTCCGGACACTCCAGCTCAGAGGCGCTACGGTGACACCATCCACTGGCACAGACACGAGCTGTCATTTGTTCCTGCCGTGCGCTCTTACTTTTGATTATAGAGAGAGACTAAATTAAAAACCCCAAAGTGACAAAAAGAGATATTCAAATCACCTTTCCCCCTGATCGTGGAGAAGTCCAGATTCAACTGGAGAACTGGCTTGGGTGCTTTTTCCAAGGCACAAGGAACACAAAAAAAGCTGGAAAGCCTGAATTAAGGTGACATCTTACTCTAGCTGTGAAACAAAGCCTGCCCTTAATCTCTCTTGAGTTTTCAGCGATTTCTGGACAAGCACCCCAAGGTAAAATGATGCTTTATGCTTTAACTGTGTTTCTTTAAAAAACAAAAGTAACAGACAAAGTAAAAGAATTGGAGGTTGCCCAGAGAAGCTGTGGATGCCCCCTCCCTGGAAGTGTTTAAGGCCAGGTTGGATGAGGCTTTGAGCAGCCTGGTCTAGTGGAAGGTGTCCCTGCTGATGGCAGGGGGGTTGGAACTGGATGATCTTTAGGGTCCCTTCCAACCCAAACCATTCTGTGATTCTATGATTCTATGAATTACCTTTTTTCCTCACAATAATCAATCTTGTCTAAAAGGTATCTACATTTTCCTAATTGACACATGAAAAATAAATTTCCCCCCATATTGCTAATGTTTCGAAGGAACTGTTTGAAGATTCAACAATAAATACCAACTTTTGGTTTTCATAAACAACAATACTACATTTTTTGCAATGTCTGTGTATTTAACAGCCTTCCAGTCCTACCCTGCAGCTCTCAGACACGTGAGTAGTCCCATCTGGTTCTGTGGAAATACAAATGAGAATTAAAGCTGCAGAAACAGGCTCCTAGTTAACACAACTGACCTGACCATGTGTTAGGCAGCAGTTGATGGCAAAGGAATGAAACCATCAACGAGCCTACAAACTGCAGAATCACACGTCATGCCACGAGACCACAGGAGATGTGTAGATTGGTTGTAGATGTGGCAAACTAACTCTAAAATCACCACTCAGGATGTGAGAGAATGCAGCTACATTTAAATACAATGGTGGAAAGAATAAAAACCAGCAATAAAAACATGTAGCTTAATATGGAAAATAGCCGGCATTGACTATTGCTTGACCTCCTAGATGTCCTCCACCTATCATATAATTTGAAAAAAAAAAGTAAGAAATTAGTAGAGAAACAAGCTTTTAAACTGACCTTTTATTGCAGAAGTGTAATTTCTCACCATCGAAACAGCACAGCCAGTGCACTTGGTGAATTACAACTGGACAGGACTTTTGCCGTAAGCAGAATACACGTGTTGGACTGACGCAGCCTGATCCATGGGTGGGTGGCAGAGCAGATTCTTCCTCGTCCGCTTGGGTTGTGATGAAAACAATCTGTAGATCTGAACAAACAGTTGTGGCTTCTGTTTCAGGATTTCCAAAACCTGGATTGCCTTCCTTCAAATTTTATTTTGCTTACTGTCACTGAGGCAACATGCAAAGACCTAAAAATACTATTATTAAACCTTCTACTTACAAGACAAAAACCATGGCCAATTGATCTGGGCTCCGAAATCAAGCAAATCAGCCATGATCCGTTTGACAGATGTTGAGGATAATTTAATGTTCAGTTCTTTTCACTTGAATTATGTTTGTACTCCAGTCACAGATGCTGATGATTGTATCACATCACAAGAGAAAGATCACAAGCTTGAGTCTCCCACCTCTGCTATAACACTTTCACAGTTTTTGTGAGACAATCTAGTAGCTGGTAATAGCTGTACTTAAGGTCATATTCCATGTCATACCAATAATTCACTGAGGAGACAAGAAAAAGGAAAAACATTTCTAAGGCTAGAACATGATTTACAAACGTGCTCACAGACTGTTTTACACAGTTCAGCTAGTACAGGCTTTTCCTTATTACTGAATGAACTTTGAAATGAGCAAATCTTTGACTACAGACAAAAACAACATAAGCAAACATTAGAGTTATTTAATAGTGCTGCCAATGCAACTCTCTTTTAACCCAAAGCAACTCCTCTTCAGATGGGGGATACCTTGGAGCAGAAGCTGGCAAAATGTTCAGGAAAAGAAAATGTATGCTTCTATTTAGACCAAAAATACCAAACACACTGCAAAGCTTAATATCTAGATAGGAACCTCTCTTCTCCTGAGTGCGTAAAGGACAGCAAATTCACCACTACTTCACAATGGTCATCAGTTAGACTGTGCTTTAATTCTGCTTATTTTAATTCTGGTGTACATCTCCTAGAAAAAATAAGCCAAGCAGTATAATATTGTACCAATGGTTCTTGGAGGAAGATTTACTCCAGCTTCAGACATTCACTGTATCAGTCCAAGAGAATATTGATTTTTCAAGTGTATACAGACTGTAGTGCTGTTAACAGACTAAAGGCCAACTAAACTCATCAACTCTTTAGCACTTCTGCTAGACAGAGAAAAAGAGAGTGGCCAGGGGCTTGCAACTGGAAACAACTCTACTTTTTCTAAAAAATCTTTAAGGATTGATGCAGCAGTACTAAAAAAAGAGACTCAGTGAAAAAACTGCTTTACTGTTAGCTTGTCTTTTTATCACAATATTTCAAATACTGAAAAAAACCCAGCTTGCAATATTTGCAGTGTTACACAAATACTAATGTCATGTTGTTCAGAATACTGTATTTACTCTTCCTGGGCAGACAGGATTATTCCAGGTAAAGGAGAGAAAAAAAACTCTTCCTCAAATCTTGCAAAATTTACAGGATATAATGATAATATTTTGCACCATCCCACCCCCCCACCTGCACCAGATGAGCAATGCTAAATGATGTATGATAAATCATACAAAGAAAGAGATTACAAGACTTTTGGTAGATGCAGGGGAACAGTAACACAAGCACAGGCTTATTAGCAAGGCAGGAGACCGGGTCAGAGAAGATTCCAGCTCACATGACAAGAGAGTATCTTCCATGTTGTGTCCACCTCCATGCCTACAACTCATACACTTTCTGGTTTCCTTTTCTTCCTCCAGATCCCTTTTTGCTGATGTGAGAACAGCACTCATAACATGCAGTTTCTTTGTGAAAGATATGTAGGCTAGGTAGACAAACTGCTTAGCTCCATGCTATAAACAGAAACCGTATCAGAATCACTGAATTAGCTATCCTTCCCCAGATCTGACAACTAGAAAGACTTTTTCTTCTGCTATATCCCTAGCACTTGTCAACAATGCTATGAATTGTAAGCAGTTCCATGCCATCTATCGAGATTGCTATTTCCTCCTGAGGTCAATGATCTTAAAGAGACCTTTTGTCCCAGTTATGCTTTGCTGTGTGATATCTAGCTGCACACTCACCATAGTTCAAAAACATATCTGGAAATACTGTGTCTTTTACCTGCTATACAGCCATGTGACTGTTGAACATGATGGAACCAGAGAGAAGGCAGGTATAACATCTCACCAGCTTTCACTGTACACTGTACAGGTTTTGCCTGAGCATACTCTGGATACTGTTCCAGATTCGGGTTCAATGGGTCCAGGGGGATCCAGGGCACCTAAAAGCAAAAGACTATGTACACGGTACTGACTCTGTCAGAAAATTCCAGTAAGCTTCCAGAAAAACAGCTGATAACAAAACTTACTAGGTTACAAAACACATATTTTGCCTAGTCACACAAGTACAGCTACACAGCTTTCCATGTTCAACTCGTTATAGGTCAAGGATGCAAAAATTTGCCTCCTTCAGTGAAGCATTTCCAGTTAGGGAAAAGGTGCTAAATGTCAGCCATGAAATTTCAGCCTTGTGGCATACTTTCAAAACACCTCCAGCCCCTTAAGTCACTTGTTCCTCCTACATTCAGTACTTGAGTATTTTACCTGCACCACTCTTTTTAGAAATTCTTTTCTTCATCTAAAGCCCTCTGTTTTAATTTTATTCCCAGCAGCTAAAACACCCCTGCCTGCAGAGAAATCTCTCTTGCCTGCATTCACCTCCTCTGTGCACTACAGAGTTATAACCCTCAGCACTCCACCTTACTGTGTTACAGGAATGCTCCCATCAGATTCCCTGAGCACCACTCTGAAAACAGAGAAAAATCCCCAGCTCAAGTTCAGCTGTAGCATTAGGCACACATTGCAGAGGAAAAAGGAGAGAGATTAGATACAAAAGGCTACTAAGTTTTTGTAAAGTGCCTCCAGATCTATACATTTTAATCAAATAAATATTGCTATGATGAAGAAAACACAATTAATTCATTGAGAGAGACACGTTTTATTGTGCTGGGTGACACTGCTGTAGAGCAAAATCCAGCCCTGAGTATAGGGCCAAAAGAAAGTGAATGTAGAGGAGTCCACTTCAGTCTTAATGAAATAAATTCCTTTACTGTTGATTCATTTAAAAGTTCTTTACTGGATCTATTTAAGTTTGGTGCATGGAAAACAGTTTATGATATCAATGGTTTCAGGTGTGCAGTAAAAATCTTTTCTGGAAGCTGGGTATCCTTTGTGAATAGTAAAATACAAGTGAAATATTTGGGCATTCTCTTTCCAGTAATGAAGGATTCCTAAGTACCAACCAATATGCTCAGTTTGACGGCTCAGCAGTGCCCCAAACTATCTCTACTCTCTTGATTGCGTTCTTTATATACTTTTTACCTTATCTGCACTCTTCTCATCCACAATTTCAAATGAGCCATCTTCTGATACCTGGTAGGTTGCTGGCTGATAGAGCTCTGGAACCACAGAAAGAATTTATTAACACAACTCAGAGTAGTACTCAGACAAACTAAAGGCAGGGCATGTCACACTTTCACAGAGTAAGAGAAAAATTAAGATAAAATAATTTTCAACTTACTGTCCTCATTATCCTTCCCTTTGTCCATTTCAATTTTTATCCAATTTCTTAATTTATTTTTTTTTTTAAGTCAGTCTGAAACTGAACTGCCTTCCTGTTTGGAATTGCAACCTTCTTTCTTCACAGAAATTATTCTCCTCAAAACCCATTTTACTCCTGGTCCTATTTTGTTCCAGTAACTGTCCTGTTTCCTTTCAGAAGTCATAAATGCATCCCTGACTTACACACTATTCTATATTCTGCCTTTTCTTCTTAGGTCAGTCTAGCAAGACAGCATTCACAAGAGTTATTAGTGACTTGTGGCCAGCCTTTCCCTTCTAATTTTATCTGGCAGGGCTCGTAACTGCTTCAGATACTGCAGGTTGCTTCTCTTCCATTGCTTCAGCACATGTGCTTTTCTAAACCCTCCCTTGAGAGTTTCTCTTCATTAACCTGATGTTCAAAAAAAATGGAATCGTCTTTTCATTACACACTGTAAAATGTAAGCATTATCTCTGTTCTGTGCTTTAACAGTAACTTGTTTTACAACGTATGACCTTGTGTATTTCATACGTTCACATATATATGACATCAGCTCTCCTATGCAGAAAGGTTGAGAGAGCTGGGGTTGTTCAGCCTGGAGAAGAGAAGGCTCCAGGGACACCGTGTTATGGCTTTTCAATATATAATATAAGGGGGCTTGTAAGACAGAGAAAGACTTTTTACCAAGGCCTGTAGTGAGAGGACAAGAGGCAACCGTTTCAAACTGAGAGGGTAGATTTATATTGGATATAGGGAAGACATTTATCACAATGAGGGTGGTCAGACACTGGGACAGGTTGCCCGGAGAAGCTGTGGCTGCTCCTCCCTGGAAGTGTCCAAGGCCAGGTTGGATGAGGCTTTGAGCAACCTGGTCTAGTGGAAAGTGTCCCCTGCTGAAGGCAGGGCAGTTGGACACAAACTATTCTATGATTTCAAGGTTGTAAACAAAGTAAAACAAGTATAAATAAAATACTGCAGCAGCACACATATCTAGGCAAAATTATATTAGTATCATATAGCACTCTGCATTCACTTAATCTGAAGCTTTGAAAGTCAAGGAATGGGAAAATAAAGTCTTATTTTATGAGGCATAAAGCTAAGCTGTGTAGGTGTCATCTTCTAGATGATACTGCAACATAACAAACTGTTACTGTGCACATAGGAAAGCGACATAAACATAAAACAGGTGATGCAAAGTAAAGCTGCCATAAGAATCTCTTTTTTCTTCTCCAGTTTTCAGAGACTCAGTTAGTAACTTGAATATTTCATTAAATTACAAATTCTTTTTCATCTTCCTGGCTTTGTTCCTAAAGAAAAGAAAAAGCAGGCAGAATCCAAACCTCTTAAACATCAAAGATGACACACTACAATACTGACAAGATACTCAAATAATTTGGATATGCTAAAGCTGCCATAAGTATCAGTAAACCCACTACTTTCGAGGACTACAAAACCCAACCTCAGGATAATGTTTGTATTACAAACTACCTGCAGCACGAAATAGAAGAGATTTCTGTTCACACTGGAAAGCATAACACTGCATAAACAGAAAAATGTTATTTCTGCTTCCTTTTTCTTATCTTCCAATGGTTTAGTTTCTCCTTCTTCCAACCTCTAGACATACTGCATAGTAAATTATGTACCATATGGGATGAAGGGACGGTCAGTCGGTGGATGCAGTAGAAAATGTTTCTCTCCAGATACCACACAGTACAAGTTCTCATAATGATCTTTATGTACTAGGATTGAGAAAAAAAGAGAGGTGGAGAAAGAGAGAAAATCAGTGTTATTTCCTTCTCTCGATCAGAAACTATACTAAACTGAAAATGTCAACTTGTCCTCTTATTATCAGGCTGCTTCCTCCCCTTGCAGCCACTGGGAGTGGAAAGTAACAATACAATGTTGTAGTAAATGTACCCAATGAAGCAAATTCTCAGTGCAGGTAGATGCACCCGGAGACACAGCAGCAAGAGGCTGTAGAAGTGCAGAAGATAGAATGCAAAAAAGGATGTTAAAGTGGAAATGCCTTGTCAGAAAAAAGACAAGTCCTACTGAGCCACTAACTCAAAACAAGCCCACTAAAGCCTGCGCTGAAAGCACACCGAAGACTTACAGTGCCATACAATACGTACAAGATGTCACAGCAGCCGATTCCCCAAGCCAGAAATTCACGGCATCCGGCTTCTTCCCTGTACGGTTAGGGAACAGAGAAATGTTGTCAACAAAAAAAAAAGAATTTGAAGCATCATATTTAAAAGCATTTCAAATAATTTTCTGCCAATTTGTCCTTTAACTTCCTTTATAACTCTGACAAGTTTAATTGCAAATAGCACACTGTGAGCAACAGCATCCTCCTTCTACACTGGAAGCCACCGTAGTGCCCACCAGACTTTATGACACAGTATTATCCAACCTCAAATCCATGGTTACAGCCCTTTATTTCCACATTCTGAATCCCTAAGACAGCTCACAGAGAAACTGCAGCACATCTACATACAGTTGCAAAATGGTGAGATCACAGTAAATCATTTTCACTGACATTTTAAGGAAAGGCCTGCTGTGAAAAAGAAACCAACTGAAACAGAACAACATTTAACTAGAAACAAAAAACATCTGTGATTTTACCAAAGGGGGTGAGGCCTGTGTGGTGTTTCACTCATCTGTTACACTAGCTTTGGTAGCAACAGCATGAATTTGAGGCAAAACATGACTCTCAGTCAGAGAAAAGACACTATATGAAAAGTGCTATATGGCACTGTCACCACATTGTGTCAGTTGTGATGGTCCCAATACACAACTGAGATACTGATTCTGGAGTAACCCAAACCTAAAACTTGGATTACTCTATTTTTAAGTATTTTAGCGCCTCTGCTTTCTAAGAGGATGAAACCAAACTGAGCTGTGGCATCCAGAAACAGAACAAACATTCACCATTCACCTAGCATGATTGTTTTAAAGCTCCTTACAAAATATTTACTGAATACAGGAAAAACAGAAGGTTTACCAAGTGCCTCACTCATCCATGGTATGTCAGGCTGCACATCACAGACAAGTTCAGGGAACTCCTCGGTGAGGTTTGAACACTGCTTCTGCACATAGAATACGTTGGGAGAGGTCACTTTCTTCTCCACAATGTCCAAAAAGTCCATGAAAGGCATTTGGCGCTCCTCTGGCATGACAAAGCGATCCTGAAACACCGCATCTGCATAACCGTTTGGTGTTACTGCCACACTCACTACCTTGGCACCTACTACTTCCCTGCAAAATAAACCAAAGGTTTATAGCCAGACTTGCAGTTGGCCCATATATTGGACACTGGCTACTTTAAAAAGAATGTTGTTTCATGGGCAGCAAAAATAAGAAGCCTGGCTTTCCATGGATGGGTGTCCCTAGACTAGATTTTCTACTGTCTGATAAGAACTCTGGCATTCTGCTTCGATTGCTTCCTGTGGTCAAGGCAACTCCAATATCTTTCACCTCTCTAAATTTTCTTGGTGTCTAAGAGGCGAGTTCACAAAGGAGCTCCCTTTTCCTCCATGCAGGCAGAGGGCCCTCTTCAGCCACTTCTTTTCATGAAATCATGGCACAGCTTGATATTCTTGGGACCACTCAACCCAGCCAAATCAAGTTCAAAAGCAATCGAGGAGGGAGAAAGGTGGACAGAGACTGACAGACACACGTATCATGAGGCTAACAGCCCTTACTTCTGTAAGAAGAAAGTTAATTTTAAATCCACAGATTTCAGGTCTAACCAGAAATTCCCTCTCTTTTGAAAGAAAATATCAGTAATTGTTAAAATGCTTATAATTTGGTTATTTTTAAAAAAACAAGGTGTACTCAGTCACAAACAAATCATTCTGTTCTTACAGCGCTACAGCCCCGCTCCAGCTGGGAGGCTACAGGGTGGAGGGAGCACTGGCCAGAGCACAGCAATCAGACTGAGTTTCAATAGCCTGAGTCCACTGGCTGCACAGAGTCTAAACATCTGTCCTTCACACTGCATCAGAACTGGTCAGGACAGCGTGAGTGTCTGCAGAAAGAAATTTACACATGAGTTTGGCAAGACTCAACACCTTCATACAGAAGCAGCGAGGAATCTGAGCCAATCTTAAGGATAAAACCAAAGATTAATCAAGAGTTTTTTTCCTGAGGTCAACCGAAACTGACCACCAGTTCTGCTCCAAAGCTTGGTCATACCTGAGGTACGCTGAAGTCCATTTCTTCAGAGCTGGCCAGTGGCTGATGGCATTCTGAATTATACAAGGTTTATTCGGACTCACCCATTCTCGATAGAAGTCCAGTGGGGACGGAGGCCTATCAAGATAGGGTATGGACTCTGTCCACCCCAGTTCTGTCCAGGCAAATGAGAAACAGTTTTACTTGGCATCCTGACAGAAGTGCTCTCTGTTAGCACACTAACTAGTTTCAAACCCCACACCACAGGCCCTCAACTGAAAGCAAGCCGTGTCCTCCCAGCTCCAGAAATGGCTCTGTTAAATCCCAGAGGTTGTTAGGGAGGGTTCCAATGCCAGACGGATACCTCAGGCCATCGTCCTGTTACTCTCCTGCTGTCAGCCACAGCTCACCCCACAGGTTGCCATGCCGTGGGCCTAGAGGAGAGTGGGCATGAAGGACAGGCATCTCAGGAGATGCACCTTCTGTACAGAGATGATACCACGGGAAGATTTTAGGAAGCTGGAATGGTGCTTTGTTTTGCTATTTTATACATATGAAAACAACCTAAAAGGGCCATTTTCTTGAGTTTCACTTCCTTTTTGCAGCAGCCTTTCTACTGCTTCTTCACCTTGGAAATGTTTGGCTGAAAAGAGAGGAGGAGTGTGGATGCTCCAGTTCATAGAATAATTTTGGTTGGAAAAGACCT